GACGCCATTGCACGGGCCCAACGCGTTTTGAAAATGCATTTTGATCATAAAGCGTTTAGCACTGGGACAGGTGTGTTAGAAAGCCAAGACGGGTACCTGCTCTGAAGAGCCTTAAAAATGAAAAGGACTGTGAAGAGTAACATTAAAAAGTAGCCCTGAAGGAAGGGGAATCAGCAGAGCTGTGGAAGACGAACGGAAGTGGAACTTGAAAGACATTGGCTGGGCGGTTCTGGAACGGAGCCCTACCCAGGATGGAGCAGAGTGCACTGTGGTGGGGGACGGAGGGGGTCTCTTTCCGGGGACCCCTTAGTTCTCTGTCAGCTCCTTCTTTCCATGCACCACTTGGGGCCTCTCCCAGGTCCAAGCACATGCCAGACCCTGCCTCTTCCAACCAGCACTCGCACAACAAATGGCTTCTCAGCCAGGGGCTCCTCATCCTCAGCTCTGCTGAGGGCCCCGTACACCTGGCCAAGTGCCCCAGGACTGTTGGTCACTCCCACGCCTCTCTATTGCTTTCTTCCTTCGCACTGATTCCTCATAAGCCATGCTACTGTCTGCCTGCTTCTTTTCTCTCGCAGACTTAGAGCCAAGATCTGCTTTCTTCCTTCTGTAATTTATCCTGTGTTCAGCACAATGCTGGCCTAGCTCAAGGACTACTAACTGTGTGGAACTCGGCTAGGAGGCATTTCGCAAGCCAAGTGTGGAGACCTGAAGGACGAAGAGGTTGGAGTCTGAAGTGCTCTCACCAAACATGCAGGCACCAAGACAGCAAGTCATGGAGGGGGAAGGGATTCCTGCAGGGGGGTAAAGAGTTTCTTAGGAGTAGGCGGCATCTCTGCCAGCATGGGGGACACCTGGCCAGAGAGAGCTCAGCAGGAGGTACAGAACAAGGACACGAGGGGAGGCTCAAGAGTGTCCACAGAAGCCGTGAGGGCAGATGTGTGTTCACAGGGAGGGAGGGACAAACGCAGCCATCAAGAGGACAGATGAAAACCAGAGCACCGCAGAGGGCAGAGGCCAGGCCACTCCCCGGGGAGCAGCATCTCAGGCCCCACGTCCTCGGGACAAGGCAAGCCCTCTGTAACCCTAACTCTACCCCTCAGCCCTTGTAACCCTCACCCTAACCCTAACCCTTTGTAACCCTAACTCTTGACCCCCATCTTCACTCATCCTAAACCTTTACAAACAGCCTAAGAGCTCGCAGGAGCTTGTGAGTTCTGTGTCCAGGGCTCTTGTTTGCAGACAGGCCTGTTCCTCGGTCAGTGGCAGAGATGGGTCTGCAATCTGACTCTAAGTTCTTAGCCCAGCAGCCTCCACGCCCCGTGTCTGTTACACTTTGAATTAAAGCAGGCGTGTCCCGAATATGCTGAGCATCTGTCTATTGTCTGTGGGATTCATTCCTGTCCAGTTTCCTCACAGTCTCTGAGGAAAGGAAAGAGCTGCAACAGAATGGCTGGAAATTATTCCAGTACTGAAACCCATGTAGTGAAGAGCCTGCTTAACCAAGAGAAGACCCTGAGAGGATTCACAAGCTACAATCAGACACCACACATGATGGCTGACAATGACCCAGCACCGTGAGCCAGCACCAATGACCCTCGTCTGTGAGCTAATATCTGCAAAACCGGTGACCTTGGTCTGAATAAACCCCAAGACTGGACATTCAGTAATGGCTGCTCTGTAGAGTTACCGGGGGTGTGATGCCCCCAGCTACAAGCATCGAAAACTGTTAGCTGAAATATGACAAAGTTATATGCAAATTGAATTAACAAGCATGAAATACATAGTTGAATTAACAAACAAGAGACACCCTCGGGTGCCAGAAACAAAGGGGAATGGAGAAACCAGGGCAGGAGAGTGAGAGTCAGCTTCACCATCAGAGGTCGGAGCAGGAGTTACCTGACCCATGGCCCTCCGAGGGGCCACCCATCCACAGCCACGTGAAGGCAGGAGCAGGGTCTGGCACAGGGTTTGACCTGAGGCCATTTAATAGAGCCAAGAGCCTTGAAACTCAATGCAGAGGAAACAAAGATATCTACCACCAAGGAGCCCTTGCCCAAGGCTCTGGAAAGGAAAATTACAAGCCTGCATTTAAGCTATGTGTGTGGCTCAGCAATTGATCCTGAGTTGATCAAATCCACGTAGCAATTCCAAATCTTGAGTAACAGCGTCTTATGAAAGACTGAAAATTGAGTAGTTTAGAGCAACAGAAGAAATTCTCAAGGAGGAAATAAAAATGTCAGCAACATCCAGAATGGACCCCAGATGGAACAGGCAGAGTAATTAACACAAAACAAGACAACAACAAAGACAAAAACTAATGGAAATTAAGAGGCAGTTTGAATGAATGATAAGATGAATAGGGTTAGTCAGGCTCTCTTTTTAATTTATGAGTAAAGCCCTCCTTTATCTTTTCTTTCGGTTCATACAACATCTCATTTTTTAAAAAACCCAAATCTAGATGTTGCCCTGAGTTAAATAATGTCCTCTCCAGATTCACATCTACCTGGACTTCAGGATGTGAGCTCTGTACAGAGGCTCCTTGCAGATGTAATCAAGTTAAGACAAGATCAAACTGAATTAATTGCTTCAAGGTCAAATTGAATTAATCCCATGACAAGTGTCTTTATGTGAAGGCTCAGGGACCAACCCAGGCACCCAGGCAGGAAAGCTGGAGGAGGAACTGTGTGGTGAGAGAGGAGACTGCATCCGAGCAGCTGCAAGGAAAGGCAGGTCAGGGATGCAGAAGCCAGCGTGAACCAAGGTCCTTAGACCCTACAGAGGGAGCATGGTCCTGCAGACACCTGATTCTAGATATTTAACCTTCAAAAGTGTGAGAAAGTAAAACTCTGTTTCCGTAGTTAAGGCACCCAGTTTGTGGTACCTTATAAAAATTAACTGTAGAAAATTAAGAAAAAGAAGCTAGGCATGGTGGCTCATGTCTGTAGTCCCAGCACTCAGGAAGCTGAGGCAGGAGGATCACTGTAAGTTTGAGGCCAGTCTGGGCTATATAGTGAGTTCAAGGCCAGCCTGAACTACTTAGTGAGATCCTGCCTCAAAAGAAAAAGAAAAAAGAAAGAAAGAAAGAGAGAAAGAGAGAGAAAGAGAGAGAGAGAGAAAGGAAGGAAGAAAGGAAGGAAGGAAGGAAGGAAGGAAGAAAGAAAGAAAGAAAGAAAGAAAGAAAGAAAGAAAGAAAGAAAGAAAGAAAGAACTTAAAGGGAAGAGAAGGAGAGAGCTGAAGTAATGCAGTGTCTGAGTCTGAACAGTTTGTCTCCAGATTAGGTGAAAGATGAGACTCCTCAAATTTCAGGTTATAAATTCAGTAAATAAAATACTAGTTAAGTCTGAATTTTAGATAGACACAAATTTTTCTTGTAAAAATAGGTTCTATGTAATATTTTGGTCATACAGACACTCCTCATTTAATGACCAAGCTACATCCTGTGACTAGGTCATTAAATGAAATGCCACTAAATGAGGAATTGTGTGTAGTGTGTATGATACAACATTTAGAACAAAGGAATGGTCAAAGGAAACTCCAACCTGATGACTTTGCTTTTATTTGCATAACTCATACAGGCAATACTATAATATATAACAGAATATAAAGCTATAGTATTGCATGATACAGTCCAATCAAGCAAAAATTACAGTATTGTATGAATAAGGTATACTGCACAAAAAAGACATTGAGGCTCTATGAACAAGATGTACAGAACTGTACATCAAAAGTCCAGGTGGCAGGGCATAAGTCTGAATAGTCATTAACCAGCTAAGTCATTAAAAGAGGACTGTCTGTATTTACTTGAAATTCAAATGTTACTGGAATTGACAAATTTTATCTGGCAACTCTACTCAAATTAGACATTCACAGAGAGTCCTGATAAGGGTAAATTAAAGTAAATTTATGCTTCAATAAATCACTGTGAAACTGCTCTGTAGCAGTAATGCAGAGAAAGCTCTTAAAAGCAACTATATGACTAAAACAATGGGCTGACAGCCGATTTTTCTTTACAGACAACAGAAGCCAAGGAATAATGGAATTACATAGTCAGATGGCCAAAGAAGAGCTGTCAGCTGAAATACATTTAGATAAATCATCATTCAAGGGTAAGGACAAAATAAAACATTTTATCACCAAGGCAGAGAGTCTCCCATTCACAGACCTTCACTTGAAGAATTGTTAATCGACACACTAGGAATAGTTAAGTACATATTATCTCATATCACTTAAATTCTAGAGCTTCTCATTTCCTTCTCTGAGCACTCAAAGGAACTTCAAAAATACAATCTGCCCAAGAAATGCACTGTCTGGAGGAGGCAGCCTGCTGGCACGGATCAAAACTAATGACACAATTAAATTTGCTACATCTAACTGAAGCTTGGGCCAGTGGAGAGTGAACTGTGTTCAAGGTCCAGAGCCGGATGCAGAATTCTACTACTTTATGGTCTTGCACCTTAGTTTCTTAGCCATAACCTCTTCACTTGGTATTTGTGACACTTTCAAATGGAGAAACACACTGCAAAGTTCCGCTCAAAAATCTAAGTCATGCAATCCACAATACAATCTGGTTGTTCATTGCTGAGAGCTAAAAATTAATCTATGATACTTTTCAGTCTCCATTTTACTTGCTATTAAATACCACCCTGGTCATCTCAGTTATCTTAAACCACTTTTAAATCAATGCTATTTTCACCCCTTTGTATCAGTCATCTGCAGGAATTTGCCATCCAAGACTCCAGTTTGCCAATTCTTGGTGGTTCAGTTTCATTCATCATTTATTAATCCAGCCAGCACAGGAGCAAGATCCAGGTCTTTGTGCACATAGACCCCTTCCTCCAGGCCTGTCCTGACACTGGGATGGGTGGGGGACAGTAGGGGGATCTTCTGTCTAGAAGCCCTTGTGCTCCTCCCCTGCCAAGCCCAAACATTGCAGGCTGTGCAAAAATCATCAGAGACACTGAAAACTTGACTGGCTTGTTTATCCACAGTGAGAGTGCCGGCACATCCTAAATTCTTGTAGACTTTCTGCCTTCCTCTCTCTGGCTCGGTTCCTCTGAGAATTCACCAAGAAGAACTTGTTGGGCAGCTTCCCTTTCCACACAGACCAAAGGAGCCCACACCTCCGCAGGGACTCCAGACTTCACTGCAAAGAAATCCAACCACAAGAAGACAGGAGGAGCGTTGGCTGGCCAGTGCCTGCTGATGTGGGAAGGAAAAGCTTTGTGTGGCTGATGGATTGGGCTCCACAAGGACCTGAAGCTGGGGGTGAGTCTCAGAGTTCAGATATCCAAGCAGGGAAGGTGTCCCCAAAATTCAGATTCCATTTCACCCTTGTCCCAGTTTATTTTTTCCAGTAGTGAGCAAATTGGCTAGAACTACCACCAAAATCCTTTAATGAGCAACTAAGGGTCCAGGAAACTTTCAGTGGTAGCTCTGAAAGGAAAATATTATTTCTACTTTTACAAAGTTCACTCTTATTGGATAGGGTTGGGTTCCTGCATAATGTATAGGAGTCCCTGTGAGGGGACTCTGTGAAGTAGTAGCCAACAGAGCCAGGCTCCATAGGCACATAAGGACCAGCTGGAGGTATTCTCCCCTTGGTACTTACAGCTTTCTCCAGGTTTACTGCGTGTGTATAAAACTTCACTAGTGCATACATGCGTATTTGAGGGGTTTTACTTTTATTTTAATTGAACTTGCTACTAGCTTATGAATCCCAAAATTCTTATCAGTTTTTAAAGAACATCCTATCTTTTAGAGGACTTGAGGCTATTTCTTTAAAATAAATAAATTTAAACTAGTTATTTATAGGGCATAATCTTTAATAGGATTTTTAATGAGTAACAGCAGAAATAGTAGAAATATAGAACTCCCTAATGCATATGTAAATATGCATGTTGGAGTTAACAGTTAAAGCCTGAATTCCCTTACAGGACTCCTTTAGAACTTAGAAATGTAGTTTTCTAGATGTACAATAAAACATTAAAGTAAATATAATGAGTCAGAGCGGAGACCCGACAAACTACCTCGAGGGGCAAACCAACCGGAAGTTGCTGTTACTGTAAAGGCGTGTTAATATGGCCAAGGAAGCCTTCGAGTAGACACTGGGCTTGAAATGCTCCCTTCCTGCCCAGGAGGGAATTCTTCCCACTCAATCCACTTGACAGCTGCACTTCTTGCAAGCTAGTCCACGGCGATGCGGTAAGGGACCATTCCAGCCCCTGAGGAGACAGAGTTCCTGAGTCTGCCCACTGAGGGACAAATCTGGATGCCAGCTACTTCATTCATCCTGTGGGGCCCAGTCTTGGCCACCAGCTTCTCCTCCAGGTGGCACCTATCCATCCTGGACCATGGGTGACATCCTACTGGCAGTCCTTAAACTTCTACCAGTGTGACATTAGCCTCCAGCCTGTGCTCCCACCCCTTCTCTACAGCTGGCCTGCACCAGCACTTGAGGTCATCCCTCTGCCACTTGGGGTCACAGCAGAGACAACCCGGAGCCAGTTGGGTGTGGCCTCACAGCCTCTGGGTCTGCTTTCTTCTTTCTGATTGTTCCTGGGAGCTTGCTTCTCCTCCCCATCCTCGATTGCCCTGGTTGTCACTGCCCCCTCCTACCCACACAAGATCTACGCACACCTACAAATGGCTGTCCTTTCCAACTGGCCCTTCTGTTCTGCCCTGTGGGCCACTCTCTGAGTGTACCCAATGTTCCAACCTGGGAATGCTGCACAGATATCTTGCTGGGGCACTAAATCTGAGCTGTGAGGTCACCCAGTAACCTTAACCTCTGCCTCAGTGACTTAGAGAAGAGGGAAGGCAGGTGCTCTGGCCAAAGTAAAATGGAGACACCACCTTTTAGAAGGGGACACAGAAGACAATATCATAGGGAGGCAGATGCATGGAGAGAGAAGAAGATGCTATCCAGATGTGCCCAGAGGTGCAGATTCCTGTGGACATCGGCACCCATGGCACCGTTGCCATGGATGATGGGGTCCTGAATGGGTTTCTGGGTTCTTGTGCACAGCAAACACCTGGATGTGGCACATGACAGTAAGGAAAAAGCATCAAAGTTTAATGGAGTTTAATCAGGTGATGGTGTGTTCAAAGGGAGTGGGTTCGCGCCAGCAGAAAGGAAAATGGCACAAGTGCTGAATACGTTGAGTTTAAGAATTTAAGATGGGAAAGGGAAAGAAATTGCTCAAAGGAAGGCATGACTGGGATGAGGGAAAGAATAAAAAAGAAAGAAGGCAAAACATAAATATATGTATATGAATAGCTGCATTGACTGTATTGCTGTTGTCTGATGGTATGTTGAAATGAACAGTTAATTCTCACAATTTTTTATGTTCTGATCGACTTTGCACGCTTGTGTCTGGTGGTCTGAGCAACTGGTTTGAAGGTAACAATATGCAATGGAATTACAATAGTGAACTCCTACCATCTTGTGTAGTGAAACTCTATATTATCTTCAATGTTTTATCAAAGAATTATTTTCTTATTCTCTTTAATGGTTTGAGAAATCTTTCATTCTTACATCTGATAATCCGAGCAATGTAGTTGAGGATAGTGATATGCAATGTAACCACTGGTTTTTTTTGTATTAATTTGTCTTGAGACCCTGTATCTTGAGACCCTGAATGTTTTTGCTTTGATTTGTTTATGTTCGTGATACTGGTATGCTGCTACTGTTCTCTTTTTTTGTTTGTTTGTTTCTCCTGTACTACTCTCTTTAAAATAGAATTTTAAAAATTTAAAAAAAAAGAATTTAAGATGTTGCCCCAGGTCTCGGCACCTCCCATTGGGCCTTTCAGAGCATGATTGACAGTGTGACTGACAGGGTGTTTAGGCCCAGTGAATGCTGGGGGAGAAGGTTACTGTAGGTCATGCCTGACAGTCTGGCAGGCATGAGTCTTGGTTTGCAACTTGGGAATCTTCCAAGGTGGGCCTAGGGCTCTTTGTCTTCTTTATCTCTGCCTTTGGGTAGCAGGCCTTAGGACAAAGGTCAAGGATTGGTCCTGGGGCGTTGCCCCGGTTCCAGGGAGTGGAGGGGAGTTTTCCCATAGGCCACGCCCCCACCGTGCTATCTGTCTTGTCACCTCTTCCAGGGAGCTTTCCAGGCACTGGCCTCTGAGCGCCTCTCCGTCTCTGGCTGTTTCCCGGGGCTACACACGTCATGCTGCTTCGTGCTTGATTTTGCTCTGTCTGCAGCCTCCTCCAGGATACCAGGCCTGGCTCACCCTTGCAGTGTGAATACCAAGAGCCATGCTTGGAGCACAGTGGGGGCCACTGGATGGGAACGTGAGCAGATGCACAGGAGCCAGCCACCGCTCCCTTCAGAAGCCCCTGCCTCCACTCCCGCAGGACCCCCACCGTCCCCAACTGCCCCTTGCTTGGGGGCTGGGCAGGGACGTTCAGAGGACCTTGATGTTTCCTAGTGTGACACAGCAGGTGGGCCCAGAGCAGCCAGCCTCACGGTTCCCTGAACAGCACTCCTGGGCCCAAGCTCTCGGCTCTCACCCCAAATCCCAAAGTCTCACCCGGTCTCGGGCTTGGCAAGGCGACCCTCTTGGGGTTGGATTTCCAAAGCCGAGTGTGCACTTCCCCAGTCCCCACACAGTCAGACAGACACGTGCTCCTGTTTCCTCCAGTCCTCAAGGAAAAATTCTTCTCAAGCATCATTAAAAATCTGCTCCTGGATGAATAATTGCCCCGCTCCCCTCTCCCCTGCTCATGATTGTTTACTGCATGCCCAGGGCTGCAAAAGGTTTATTGTTTGCGTGTCTGTTCACCGGATAGGTGAGCGCTGGGGTGCAGAGCTGCTTCGCTGCAGAGACACTCAGCCCTTGGGTGACTGCACGCCCATGCAGGTCGGCATGCAGGTGTCTGCAAAGCCTGCTGGGAGCCTGCCTTGGAAAGGAGTAAAAGTGTCAGGCTTGCATTTTCAGAACAAATTTCCTCCCTCCATGTCCACGAGCCTCTCTGAGATCTTCTGTGGTACAGCTGAGAGAAACCCTCATGACAAAAATAAAGCTGAGTTGCACTCATAAAACACAGGTGAGATTTGGTGCCAGCTTCCTGAAGTGGCTGCTCTGGTCTCTGATGGCTGCGACAAGCAAGTGCCACTAGATTAGTGGGTGAAACCCAGGTTTGTCATCTGACACGTGTGGAGGTTAGAAACTCCACACAGGTCTCGCTGGGATAGAACCAGACGTCAGCTTGGCCCTGGCCCCCTGAGTTCCGCTAGGGTGTGCCCATTTTCTAGTGTTTTCAGCTGTAAAATTCTGTGAATTCCCCTGTCTTCAAAGCCAGCAAAAGGTCCTCTCTTCATCTTAAAGTCGCTGGTTAGTAACTTTAACTATCCCCAACCTTAATTGTCCTTGTCCACGTAACACATGTATTCACAGGTTGGGGGTTGTGATGGGGATATTCTGGGGGAGCTGCTATTCTGCCAATCGACAGGGGCCTGCTTTTCTCCATCCCTGCTGGGGCCAGGGTGTGTGTGCCAGTGTGGTGCAGTGGTGCGGTGGACGCTTGGACTCCACTCCCATCTTTACTGCTTGTTGCTCAGCAACCCCAACCTCCTCTCTGGGTGTTAGTCTGGATCCCCAGGCTCTGGATGCTGGTCGGTTCTTTTGAAGGTGACTCAGGCAGTGCTCTGCAAGGACATCGGAGAGGACATAAAGCTGAAAAGGAACAAGCAGGTTTCGTGGGGCACAACAGCAGTCAGTCTTGCTGGTGCCCCTGAGAGAAGCTGGGTAGAAAACACCTCAGAAATGTCCCACGAAGCAGGGAGAGGTCCCCTCGGCCCCCGCTGCCCCCGCCATGATGGGTGCTCCTCCCCCACCCCCAGTCCTGCTCTAGGGCCAGGAGCATCCTGGGACACAGACCCAGGAAGCCCCCCTCCAGCAAGTGGCTGCAGAGGGAGCCAACCCCCGGGTCCTGCCGGCAGCTGGCACCCTATCTGCGCTGCAAAGGGGACTCACTGATCAAAAACTGCCAAATACAACATATTCCAAAACCGGAAACTTCTTGAGAGTCCAGATGATGCCTCTAAGGGAAAATTCTGCCCCCGGACTCAGGGGACCTGGTCACAGCCCAACAACGTGTACATGACATGTTTTCATGTGTATCATGTGTGCATGATACGTGGTTTCAAGTGTAGACTTGGGTCCCTTCCCCAAGGCATCTCATGATGCATGTGTCAGAATTCCAGAGCTCTAAAAGTAAAAGTGCAGAATCCCTTCTCGTCCCATTTGGGGTAAGGGACACTGAGCCTGCATGTACATCTGGGCTGTAGCGCTGCTCCACAGGGCACCAGGAATGACTTAACTGGCTTTGATGCCCAAGGTCGTAAGTTGTGGCTGTTTCCCCGACGGCGGGCGATGTGGAGGGGGCGCTTCGTCCGTGACTGCTGCTTGTCCTCCCGCGGCCAGGGAAGAGCACGCATCCTTGCCGCAGGGGAGTCAGGCGCAGTGTATAAAGTGAAGTCACAGTGTGGACGAGCTGGTCCAGACAGATGAGACGCAGAGAGAGGTGGCGGCTAGAGTTCTGCTAGCTGAGATGGTGCTAAGGGGCAGAAGTGACTTCAGGAGGGCGGGCCAGGGCGGGACTGCCAGGGCAGTCAGAGGCTTCTGCGCCAAGTCCAACTCTTCACTAAGGCAGAAGATACAGATAAAATAACAAAGAGACACTGCCCCCAGGGGACCTCCAGCCTACAGAGCCGCAGACGGAGAGATCTCTGTGAGATGCGATCAGGACCCCGTGGGGGCTGCACTGACGGTCTGTGCTCTCTTGTTCTGGAGGGAGCACTCTCTCAGGGAAAGCTTGTGACCACCTACCACCCTGTGCCCCGAGCACCTGTGCTTATTATGTGCCCAAATTTGAAGACATTTCTATTATTTATGGCATTCACCTGAAGAGTGAAGAAGGCGCATTTAGGAGAGAATGCATGCGACTGATCTGAAGTTTTGATTCCTAGATCCTAAGTACCCTCAAGATTATGAGAATGTGGATTCTGCACCTTGTACTCCAAATGGATCAGCTTTGGAAGTGAGCCTTGGTGGGGAGGCTGTAACAGAGCAGTGACAGAAAAGAGAAAACAGGTTTGTCTGGTCATAAATATTTTACTTACTAGGCGCAGCAAGCCACAGGTAAGCACTTGTCCTAATAAGAAAGTATTGATTAAATTCTAGCCTAGAATCAGGACATGTAATTGACAGTTGGAAGATCTGAGGACTCACGTTCAGCAAATGAAGGCAAATGGCAGGGATAACAGTGGAGGAGATTCTCATTTTACATCAAAGCCCACGGGTAAGTAGGGTTGCCATGGGAGCCAGAGTCAAAGGTTGCGTTGAAGAATCTGGTCCAGTGGGTCTGGTCATGACGGTGCAGAAGCAGAGGAGTTTAGAGCTGCGTGTTTCCTGAGCTCACCCACCCTCTCTTTGCCCTGACAGCCCAACTGATCTCTGACTCCCAGTTCACAATGGCGGGCGCATGTCTGCTCTTCAGATTTCTATCTCTGTGTGGGCCAACTCTAGGAAAACACATGTCACCGTCAGGCTTTCTGTGTGGGGTTTTCACAAATCTCCAGCCCGTTATAGGCCCAGTTTACAAGAAGTCTGTTGCCCGCACACTGGAGCCACTTAGCCTGCAAGAATCATTCCACCAGGGCCCTGCAGGATATAAATTGAGGCTTCTTCAAGACTGAATATACCACGGATCTAGAGAAAAACCTTCTGTCTTTGTCTGTCTAAAAAGATTCTGGAACTGCTGATGAGACTCCATGGTGGCATGAGCCCTACCAAGAATCATTCCAGGCACACTGGCATGCGCTGGGCAGAAGAGCGGCCCAAATGAGGCTTCCCGAAGCTTGGCCAGGTGACACCTACTATGTCCACCTGGGTGACCTAGCCTGTGTCTGTCACATGCTTATAACATCTTTCTTCTCTTTGTATCCAGAGCAATGAGGCATCCTCCTCTTAAGGCATGTTATACTCGGAAGGGCAGGGCTTGCTTTACATGTCCCTGAGTCAGGAAAAGCAGCAGTGGCTAATTTTGTCACCAGTCATGGCAAATTCCTGGGCAGAGCTCAAGAAAAGCCACTCTACTCAGGAGCCAAGCTCAAGCGAGCAGGGTAGTCATCCCCAAAACTGATTCTTATGTAAAGACTTCCTGTCACTCCCGCAACAGAAAGGGAGGGTTTGTAGCTTTTATTCAACAAATGACAACCACCACCACAAACACTGAGGCGGTGCTGTCTGGGCTTCCAGGGGGGGACACCATGTGCTGCTGAGGCCCTGCGTCACTCAGCACACAGGCGCAGGCAGGAGAGACTCCGGTTCCCACCCAGCCTGGGCCTTGGGTCTTGGGTACAAGGCAGAAACAAGAAACCTGAGTTCCCAGGATGCATCTGAAGTTGTCATATTCAACGATGACCTAGGCCATCTCCAGGTAAACACTGGCAGACACCTGGGCTGCTTGGGAGAACTAAAAAGTAAATCCTGAGAGTAACTCCTAAGTCGGGCTTGGGAGAACGGAAAGGGGCCCTTGGGGTAGAACACTGCAGGGCCCTGACACTGCAGTCACAGAGCCATTTTGCCGTTCTCAAGAGACACAGACAGGCAGGCTTGGGGGAGGGGCAGTCTTATTATTGCTTGAAATACCTAAGCCCAGGGCCAGCTATGTCATTTGTGGAACCCAGAGCAAATTAAAACTGTGAACCGCTTATCCAAAAGTTACTAAGAGGGGCTGGGGATTTAGCTCAGCGGCACAGCAGGTGCCTGGCAAGCATGAGGTCGTGAGTTCGATTCCTGGTACTGGAAAAAAAAAAAAGTCACTAAGAGGTCAGGAACAATAATGTACATCTGTAAACCCAGCCACTCAGGAGGCTGAGGCTGGAGGATTGCAAGTTGGAGCGTAGGCCAGTCAACTTAGAGAAACCTTGTCTCACATTAAAATACAAAAACGGTTGGGGACGGAGCTCAGCGGCAGAGCTGGGTTCTATCTCCATACCATCAGGAAAGGTTGCTGAGAACCTCCAGGTAGCAGGGGAGCACGAGAGCCAGCATGGAGCGGGAGATGGTTCCAAGGACGGTGCCGCAGCACATCACCACATCCTGCTGGCGTGAAGAAGCAGAATTGCGATGTCTTGTGGATCTGGAGCCCAGGAGCCCAAAACAAAGGGTCAGCAGCGCTGGCTCCTCCCACAGGCTCGGAGGAGAAATCCGGGCCCTGCTCTCTCTGAGCTGCTGGCGGCCGCTGCAGTCCTTGGCCAGGAGTTGTGTCCCTCTGATTTCTACTCCGTGTCCACCTGCCCATTTTCTCTGTGCCTTTGCCTCTCAGATCTTCCTCTCCTGCGTCTCCTGAGATACCCGTCATCGGGCTGAGAGCCCACACTAAATCTGTGATTATCACAGGAAACTTAATTCTATTTCTTGAGACTGTTTCCAAATATCGCCACATTCACAGGCACAGGGTGTGGGACAGGGCATGTCTTTTGCGGGGGGTCAGCATTCCATGCACGCTGAGTCCACACCTGACCCTGAGGTCTGGGGCATGACTGGCACTCCATCCATTGCAGGGGTGTCAGCAGGGAGCTTGCTTTGTGCTGTACTTGCTCGGGATTCACTGCTGCCCTCCTTCTTGCAGGTTCGGGCATCCTCCTGCAGCCCTTCCTGACTGCCCTCAAAACCAGTGCCATCGCACTGCCTACAGCTGCTGTACCTCTGCAGTGACACAGACACCCAGCCCCTCCCATCCCCTCTGCTGAGACACGTACCCCTCCACCCAGAGGCCTCCCCAGGATCCGGCAACTGCAGGGGTGCGGCTTGTCTCCACCAGAACTCCGGCTGAAATTTGATCCCCAGTCTCACAGCGCTGGAGAGGAGGTGGGACCTTCGGGAGATATTTGGGTCATGAAGGGTCGATCGATGGCTTTCTCTGGAGTCTGGGTGGGTGTCAGGGCTGGCTTGGTGAGCTGGATAGCCCTTGGTTGTAGAACAAGCAGAGCCCTGGCATCCCGCTTCTTGTTCAGGAGCTCCACCCACTTCTCACGCAAGGTCTCCTGCCCTGTAATGCAACCTTCTCTGAGTTACACAGTGGAAGCCCCTCCGTAGAAACTGAGCAAAGGCAGGCACCGTGGGGGGGCCCTGGAGGTGAACACAGAGCCTCTGCATTGAGCTACATCTCCAGCCTTTCTTGTTTCTTCTTCTGAGTCAGGGTCCCTCTAAGTCCCTAAGTGATCCAGACTGGGCTCCAACTGGTAATTCTCCTGCCTCAGCTTCCCAGAGTGCTGGAATTACACACGTTTCATCATGTTCTACTTCCCCTCTGTCTCTATCGAGTATGCAGCTCAGGTTTTTGCCTCTAGCAACAGACTAAGACTAACCCTAACCCTAACCCGGCCACAGAGAAGGCCTTCAGGTAACCTCTGCTCCGGAGGGCTAGGTGTAGAGAGGGCGGAATAACGGTCCCAAGGATATCACATCCTAATCCCCAGGACCTGTAAAAGCAGGACTTTATGTGGCTACACCCTACCCTGGAGATGACCCTGAACTATCTGGAAGGTCCAGTTCAGTCACCAAGTTCTCAAGAGAGAGAGGCAAGAGGATCACAGTCAGAGAAGATGTGCCGTGCCCATGGAGGCCGACGCTGTAGCCAAGGGACACAGGTGACCCTAGAACCAGGAAAGGGCATAGACTGGATTCTCCTGGGAGTCTCTGGAGCAGCAGCCCCGGTGAGACCTTGAGTATAGCCCTGTGGTTTGGGCCCTGGGACCCGCAGAACGGCCAGATAATAAGATTGTGCTATTTCGAGCCAAGCTGTTTGTGGGGATTTGCTGCTGCAGCAGCAGGAAGCTGATATGCGCCCACGTCATCCAGTGTGACAGTTGTGAACCTCACTCTGGCCCTCACCCATTCACCCCTCAGCGGGTCCCAGGTGAGCCTCTGCCTGGAAGACCAGGCTGGCACTGGGCTGCACAGTACCGTGACTGGGTTCAGATCCAAGAGGAGCCGTGGAGTCCACCGGGCCCAATAACAAGGAAACCACAGAGGTTCAGCAAGTCTCACACCTCATCCATGAGAGGCTCATTGTCACCACCTGTACCGTGCATTTTGTAGCACCCTCCGTCTTGCTGTGACAGACCAACCTTTCGCAGGATGGGCATGGAGCCTGGGGAGGACACCTGGGCCACTCTCCTTGAAGGAGGAGCGATTGTCTCCGTTGTGGCTGAGCCTGACCCTATTTCCCTGTACTGATATGTACAGAGCTGGCTGGGACCCTTCCTTATCCCTTCAGTTGGCTTGAAGCAATGCACATCGGTCCAGCCCAGGTGCTGATGGTAGTCTTCGGAGATGGCAGGCGTGTTTCCCTGGACACCTGAAATGAGGCGGGATGTGTGAGCCAATGCTCTACGCTGTTGGCTGGGATCGAGCCTCGGGATAGAGGCTATGACTTCCTGGGGCTTCAGAGATTACACAGCACAGCTGAAGCACGGATCCCAAAACATTAGATACTGTCTCAATTGTGTTATGCAGATTACGTTTTCTGCAGATCCTTCTCCTACATATGGAAGAGGTGATTTCAGGCCTCCTACCTAGCCCAGCTCAGGGCACTCACCTGCTTCCCGCCACTCTCACAGTCACTCATCCGCAAGCCACTCCCTTCTTCATGAATGAATAAAACCCTGTTCCCCCCTGGGTCGAGGCCTTTGTTCCTGATGGCCATCATCATGGCTGGACTTAGGACCCCTTGGCTCCCCATAACTACAAATATGCCCTAGTGTCTTTATTCTCGACATGGGTTGCACTGGAAGTGGTAGATTGGAATTAACTCGCTAGGATTCCAGTAATTTTTCAAGGGATCACAAATATAAACTTCCCGGGCTGTGATGAGAGCTGGGAAGGGCTCCCTATAGTAGCCTACAAGGGTAATCACAGCATATGGTGAATGTGAATGTTTAAGTTTAAAGACTGTATTACTGTAAGACAAATTGCCATTGATTCCCTTCAAAAAATACTGCCCCCTAGGTTCAAATACACTGATCCCGTCATTCTTGCCACTCTGAAGCAGCTCTGGAAGTGCTCTTTCCTGAGTATCCTCGTCAGGCGTGATGAAAAATGCAGCGAATGCTACTGCCACGTGCCAACAACAGAAAGACAGCCCGTAAAAACACTGCTGTGCATCTTCATCCCCCACATTCACTGGCTCTGGCACTGTGCTGCTTCCGGTTCTTCCCCAAAGACAAACCGACATAAAGAGAAACATTTTTAGTGGATTCAGGACATTAAGGCAACCAGGACAGCACACCTACTAAGAAGTCTTCCAGAACTACCTCACTCAGAAAGTGGCAAGAAAGATGGGAGAAGTGTGTCTGAAGCAAGGGGGGGATTTGGAGGGAAATTAATGGCAATGTGTCTTTCATGATCATATTTTTTGTTCTGGTTTTTAGTTTTATCAGCCCATGTTCTCGGTGCAGGATGGTTACGTTCCTGGTGTGGAGCTGGTGCAGGGGTTTCACCCAGCTTCACTCCTCTTCATTCTTGCCCTTCCCCTCGGCCCCTTCCCCTCATCGCTTGATCCCCCTCCCCTCTGAGAAGGAACCATCTTCGTCTGTCCATTACCTATCTTTACTTTGCTCTTTATTTATACCTTAGGTTTCTCAGGTCAGAGACACCATGTGATATTTAAGCTTGTGTGGCTGATTAATTTCATTTAACGCTATGGTCTTAAGGTGCACCCATTTTCCTACAAATGACTCAAGTTCACCCTTTAAGCGCTCACAGTATGTTTCGATCTCACTTCCTAGATGGGTCGCCCTCTGGCCAGGGCTTGGCCGGGCCTGGATCCTGCGCGTCAGCTGTGTGAGCAGAGTCTTTCTCCAGGGTTTGCTCCAGTCACAACAGAGCAACCTCGAAGTGGAAGCTGGTGTTGCTTGCTGTTCTGTGGTACAAAGACCTTCCAACAACAGAAGGAAAAGCAGCTTACATGTAGAGGGAAACAGAGGTCAGTTGGGCTGAGGGTGACCCGCTCCCATTTTCGAGTTCTGTGTTTCTCCCTCCAGTACTGCAAGCAGCCTCAACACACTTCCAAGGCGCCGCATTTGGGGTTTGACCGAGTTTGTTTCTCATAACCGAGCGAGCTCTGACTCATTCGCCATCTCCTAGGGGTGCTGTGAAGATGAAACCCAATAAAAAAACAAAGTGTTTAGCGAGTTCCTGAATAGATTGTGACCTCAATAAACAGTGGCTGTTATTATTCATATGCTAGACTTCCTGGAGAGTCCTGGGCACCCTCCAGCCTAAGGGGGTTCTGACCTCAGCAGATTTCAAAGGCCCTTTAGCGTCTGTTCCTCCTCTGATGACCCCCTAAAAGCCACCCTTCAAGCTTGCTGCCTCTGTGACCTGGCCCAACTGCCAACCCCAAAGCTACTCCAGAATCTTCCTGCTGGCACCACTGTTCTGTTTTTCCCCAGGCGGCTGCTCTGTCCTCCATGCAGACACGTGGGCCCCTAGCATGGCTTCAGCCTGGACACCAGGTAGCAGCAGATGCTTCCTTCGCCCATTCAGAGGCCCTGGCGTAACTTCCCGCAGCTCCCCAATAGGCTGTGTCTGCCATGTTTAAGACTCACTGAGAGCACTGCTAGTGTCCTGCTAGGACAGGGACATCTGAGGTCCCCCCATGGAGGCTCATTGGATGATGGCAAAGCCACAACCACACGAGGCATAGGGGTTTTTAATGATTAGAGAGATGAAACGAGAGACTCTACGCTCAACACTCAAATATTGGGAAAGAACCAAATTCAGTCAAGAGCATATGACCTACTTCTCCACACGGATTTCCCTCTTGTCAATAATTCTTCCTACAGCCTGTGTTATAAAGTGGTGTAAGTGAAATTCCGATTGAAAAACTCATGATGAGACAATGAAGTGTGCTCTGTTGCAGTTTCAGTGTCTGAGCCACGGCTGCAGCCCACGTCGTGATGCTTCTGTGTGGACCCCACTCACCTCCTCCATCACGACTGCAGCTTCTGTGACAGCATCTGGCCGGCGTCTCGGGGACCGCAAATTTGAGATTTTGAGAAGGTTGGGGAGTAAGCTCCCTGCCGTTCCACCAAACTTTGGCTGCTATGCATCCAAATGCATAGACTAACCAAAGCCAGAAGGAAGACTGACATCACAGCAGTGTACCGCTGCTCAGGCTGACCACCCCTTCGGGGGGAATGTGAATTAAGTGGGAAAAGATCATTAAAGCTTGATATCAGGACTTTCCATGGACCCGAAATGCATTGACAAGGGTCTTGTTTTTGTTTATTTGTTTGTTGCTTTGTTTTGTTTTCAGTACTGTGGATAGAACCCAGGACATCGGCACTGATCTACACTCCCACCCCATTTTTATTTTTTATTTTGAGACGAGTCTTACTAAGTCTCTAAGTTTCCAGGCTGTGCTCCAACTTGCAGTCCTCCCGCCTCAGTCTCCCAGAGTGTTAGGATGAGTGTCATGCATCACCATACCATATAAGCGTCTTACAAGACAAAGCCTGAAGGCACACAGAGAAGACCAGGTGAAGCTGGAGGCAAATATGGAGAGATGCATCTTCAAACCGAGGGACACCCAGGTTGCCAGAGGCCAACAGAAGCTGCAGAGAGGCAGCGAGCAGATCCTCCATGGGGCCTCCAGCAAGAACCAACTCTCAGGGCACCTCAGTTTCAGGCGTGCAGCTTCCGGATGTACAAGAGCACACACTTCTGTTGCCTTAACCCGGCCAACTTGTTCCTGCAACTGCAGGGTGTGAGCTTGCTTGCTGCTCACGAATACCCCACACTCCTTTAATAATCTGAGCCTGGCTTTGTTCGGGGCGCTTACACACACCTGCCTGGACACATAAGACTTACACGCACTGGCCCTTGCCTGATGCTGACCTCGGAGCAACACAGTCCTTGGTGCCGAGGACTCCTGGAAGAGCGGCAGGCACCCTGGACAGGTGCACGCTGCTACGAGGACAGGACAGAGGGTGACTGCACAGGACCTCTGAGGACAGACTCCAGAAACACGCGGCAGTTTTTCCTGCACAGGCTCAGTGTTGCCAGCTTCACAGCAGCCACCCGCCCGCTGTGCACGGTGAGATCTCGTGCTGGTGGCCGGTGCTGGGGGCCACACGTGCTGCACCTTGCAGACTGTGAACTCTGCAGTCTCCGTGGTGCAGCGGTGGAGGGCTCTGTCCAGTGCACATCACGGCTCAGTACCACCCAAGCCCCTCAGCCTCCTGCAAGAGGCGCTCCCCCAGGCCATCTCCGTCTTGCACCTCGGTCCCCCGGGCATCTGTGGCTCTTGGCTCTGCAGAGGGGGTGGAAGCGTGGAGCTGCCTGTTTTCACTCTATGTGGTAAGAACCAGTGGTGTCGCCCTGCCTCAGCCCACAGGGGCAGACAAGGGGAGAAGCACACGGGTGCGCTTGTGACACAGAGACTACACCTCAGTGAGAATGAAGGGGACCAGCGGGAGGGCGTCTGCAGGAAGGGCCTGGCGGGCTGCTGGCCTCTCTAGAGACTTTTCACCACTCTCTGGGAGGCCCCCTGGGACTGAGCAAAAGCTTTAAAATGCTGTAAACTGCGTGTGGCGTCACAGGCCTGTAATCTCAGCGCTCTAGAAGGCTGAAGCAGAAGGATCTTAAGTTCCAGCCCAGCCTGGGCAATTTAGTGACTTAGCCAAAAGGCCTGTCTCAGAAATGGAGGAGGGAGTGAGGCTGTTGATCTGTGTAAAGGCCCTAGGTTCCAGCCTTAGTACTGAAGGAAAAACATTCTGTAAAAGTGAAGAGGGAAACAAACCCAGGATGGCCACTGCTTCTGAGAGAAGTCTTGGCGTTCTGACAACTTAAGCCTCACTCAGTGACGACGCTAGTTCCACTCCAAGGCCCGCCCGCTGGCGACCACGCACGTGGCTGAATTGATACGTTTCTCTACGGTGAACGGAGGCTCAAGTGCCTCACTTGATGGTTAATCCCGATTCTCTGCCTAGAATAACAGCCCTCTGAGGACAAGTACGGGGGCAGAGACATCTCCCCCAGCCTCTGCTGAGCGGATCATCCCTGATAGATATAACTGGTGTCACAATTTTCCCTGGGCATTATTTTTAGCAGTACTTTTTCTGTGCTGAATACATCATCCTGGCACGCATCAAATTACACAGCAAAGCAGCATTTCCTATACGTAACAAAGGGTGCAAACCCATATTTATGAAATAGGCTGTAGCAACTGTCATTACCTACCAGGCCTTACCACGATGGCTTTTCAATTATACATGGAAACTGTATTCTTTCTCAGGAGACGTGGCAGGTGAAATGAATGGCTCGAGGAGTCAGTGTTTAAGGAAATGAAAACAATCAGTAGGAGCCATTAGAAGAATGAGAATTCTGCAAACGTCTGATAGAAAGGCGCTTGTTCTCCTGAGAGTCCCTTCCTGGGACTCCAAACAGCAGGCCTGGGTCTGGAATCTCATAGGCAGAGAGGTGGCGTCCTGTGCAAAGCCCCTTTGGTGTCTCCCTGTGAGCCGGAGTCTGCTTATCAGCGAGAATGAAGAGGGAGAGGCCGGGTGGAGGCTGAGCAGGCAGAGCGGGCCCTGGGGAGGTCACCGAGGAGCTGTGTTCCCTGTGTGTCTAGACTTGCCTCGCAGGCTGCCCTGCCAGGGCGGTGCTTCCCCATCCATGACCTCGTTTTGTCTCCAAAACAACCCGAGGCTGGGCAGGGCGGTGAGCCTCAGCCTCCAGGAGAAGTCCAGGGATCTGAGGTCCGGAGAGGTCGGGTGCATCCCTGGGTGTGGGCCACCACCCCCTGGAGCTCATCTGCTGGGGACAGTGCCCTGACAGGGAGGCTGAGCCCTGCTGCAAACCGAAGGAACCCTTGGGCCAGAACTAAGTGAGAGTGGAGTCAGATGCAGGCAGAACTTCTCCTCCTTTACTCGGTGGGTGCAGCGTGGGGCGGGCACGTCAGCAGAGCCCTGGGAGGGGCGAAGGTGGGGGAGCTCCCTGTCATCTGCACAAGGGCAGCAATGTTGGCCAGCAGCACCAGCCTCTCCTCCTCTTCCACCTAGACTCCGAGCCCCAGCTTCCGTGCACTGCAGGCCTTTCCAGGTGCCAGAGCAGCAGGCTGGGAGAGCCAGGGCCCCTCAGAATGGAAGGGACCTGCGTTTGAACTGTGCACCACCCTGGCCTGCTGCTAAGGTTCTCCTCACCTCGGTCTCCTCCTCTGGAAGTGCAGAGAGGCATGGCTGCACACAGTGCCCTGAACTGCAGTGACACAGACAAGCAGACAGTGTAGGCCTGGATGAGCTTCACAAAGTGATTTCAGTTCATTAACACCAACGAGACACACGTCCTCCCAAGCTTGTGCTAAACACAACTTTAAAATCACCTGTGTCCGCTGATTGTCTCACGCTGTGTCCGGCTCTGTGCAGAGTGCATTCCCACGGTGCCGCTCACGGGGAGAGCTGCAGGGTCCCCCGTCATGCACCCCAGACAGTGATTTCACATTCCAAAAGCTTGGGTGGAGCTCAGCCACGCAGCCCCTTCCCCCTCACTTCTCAGCCTGGGGGAGAAAACGTGCTCCTTTCTCAGAAACCCTCAAACTGCAAGCTCCTCTGGGAAACAGCGGCAGCCCCACCCTCGCTGCGCCCCAAAAGTGCACAGCACCGCTCTGATTTCTGCATGTTCTGTTCCACACAGGTCTCACCGCAGCCGGGCAGAGCCCGGAGGAGGGGACTGTATTAAGGACACGTGAACCCTGTGCATGGGGTGGCCGTCTGAGAGGGAGGAGGTGCCCCCTGCAGACGGCCATGGTGGGAAGGGGTTTCCTTCCTGGGAGGCGAACACCAGGCTGTGGGCATCTGACCTTCGGAAGGATGCAGGGCAGAGGGGAGAGACGGTACTTAGTGGGACAGGGAGAAAGCTGTGGGATCAAGGATTTGTTCTCTTACTTTTTTTCAATCACCTAAAACCTTTTGTCTCCAGCCCTTTGGCCATAACTTTATCTCTCCTTGCTCCATTAATTGTGACATCAAAACAATCTATAATGCCGGGAATGGGACTGTTTCAAGCTCTGGAGATGAGCATGCAGAGTCAGAATAGTGAGGCAGAAATTTGTGGTCTATCAGAGGAAACCCTGTAAAAGCAAACTCAAAACCTTGAGGGCAAAGTTCAGCTTGGGGAAGATAGGGCGACTGCTCAGGACTAAAATCGGCCTCCTCAGCTGCTCAGGTCAGAGTGATGTGGCCATCTGTGGCCGTTTTTCTGGAAAACAGGGCAAACAGTGGTCAGTGAAGTCTCCAGTACCACCTGCTTTCCCAAGAATTTGTTAATTACAAGTTAAATTTGGGTTGCACATAAACAAACGGTTTCAATCTTTATTTATTTATTTGTCTTTTTGAGACAGGGTCTTGCTGCTATGCAGTTCAGGCTGATCTTGAGCTCACTTTATAGCCCAGGCTGGTCTTAAACTCGCAGCAATCCCCCTGCCTCAGCCTCCCAAGTGCTGCAATTACAGGAGTGCGCCACCACGCCCGGCTTCAATCTTTATTTTTATTTCCAATATTTTTACTTACAGGATGCCATCATGGTCCCTAAATGGCTGAGAGTTTTGGAGTTTTAGTGCCTTAAAATGCCCTGTGTCCCTTTGACAGATGTAATCTGGCTTCTACCAGCTCCAGCAGCAAGATGAATGATAAAGTCTTGCCCTTTCTAAACAAAAACTTCTAGAGCCACAAACATATTTGCCAATGTGTCTGTTTCTAACATCCTTTTTTCCAAGGTGAGAGCAACGGTTTGTCTCACAGAAGAGCCCTGCAAGGACCATAGCATGTCTGTTTCCACTTTAATAAAATAATCGTTCATTTTACATAATGCCTGTTTTACAGTGCAGTCAGTTGACATAAAGTCGTCTGACCACTACTTAGGAAGCGCCTGAGTTCAGTGTGCTCCCCTCTCTGTGGGTCACCCCCAGTCAAACAGGTTGTTTAACATTAGCCGGGTGCCCACACTGCACCTGCTGAAGGTCCTGTCTGTTCTGGCCCATAACTATTTTCTTTTCAAAGTGGGTATTTCCCAGCGCACGTAGACAGCACAATGGTTCTATCGTGTTTCCTGTTGAAGAGGGCTCAAGTCTTGGCGAGCTTCCGGTGGGCTCCGTGGGTGGGCACAACCCAGATACTAAGCGGCTTTGTAATTTCTACTAAGACTGACCCTAGCGGTGCTGGGCTGCATTTTACATAACCAGGCATCATTCATGAAATGGCTAACAAATCCGGCCAAGGATTGAGGTCATTCTTCTGTAGGATGTGTGGCACTCCCACAGGCACAGAGGAGGGTGCCAGGCACAGGGCACCTGAGCTTCCAGGTCAACCATTCAGAGTGGCCCTGGACACTGTCACCATCAGATCAGATGCCAGAACCCACCACACCCAATCGTCACCCCCTCGCCCAGCAGAAGCCTGGAGACCAAAGCCAGCCACAGAAAAGGTCCTCAACTGTTGATTGTATAAATAATTTATTTGTTCACAGCATCATATATGCATTATAAAAGGGATGGGAACAAAAGAAAGACCGAGACAGAGAATTACAGCAGTAAGACAGAAAGCTGGAACCGAGGGACAGTCCCGACACCATAACAGGGAAACTGTGAAGAGAATTCTTCTGAGACAAAGGTGGCCTCCCTGTGCCTATCAGAAAACATTTCTAAAGCTCACTTGGGGAGGCCAGCTTCCCGTGAGGAACCCATTTCATCACCAAAGGGCAGAAGGCGTAGCCAATCACTGGCTGACAAGAGGGGGCTCCCAAGGTGACTTTCTCCGAGCTTCCTGTTGGGTCAGAGATGAAATGGGCTGTTCTTAGGTCAAACATTACAGAAATCAACTTCGACTCTAACCATTAGCTGATACACCACAGGGCTCTTGACTTTACTGCACAATTACTAACAGTTGACTGCACCCTTAAAAACTGATAATGCAAAAAAAAAAAAAAACCAACAAAAAAAACCCATCTTGCATCATCGTTGAAGCACGACAGGATTTGAACCATGACCTGGAACCAAGGTCTTGTCCACACAAGAAGGTTACAGTATTTGGCATCTGCAGTGTCACAAAATAAATATATTATTCTCTCAATAGTGTGGAACTACCAAAATGTCAAAGTGCTTAAGAAAATGCTGCATGTGAAGAAAATAAAGGAGGATGGATATTTTGAATAATTCTATACAGAATCTGCAGAGGATGGGACCAGCCCATTCAGAAGTCAGTGAGTTGCTGTCGATATGTAAATTGAAATCCTACAGGCTTTTTATCACTGCTTACCTATTTTCTCTACTGAGTTTCTACAAAAAAGACCGGCATTGGAGGGGTACCAAATACACAGACAAAAGAGGAAAGGAAGATGGGCTGCTAGATTTCTTTTTTTAAAAAAATCTCCTAAAAGATCTGGGTTTCAAGCAGGAAGCCAGAATTTCTGCTTCTGGTTTCTGAACTGTCAGCGTAATGGACGATGCACATGGGCTTGCGATTTGACCAACTCTCATGCTCCAGCATAACCACGTCCGCTCTCCCCAGGCCTCCTTTGCAAATAAACGTGTAGCCCTGTGTGTGGAGGGGTCCAAAATTCTACCTGAAAGCATGACTTCAGAGAGGAAATAAAAAAAACAAAGCCAGTTTAAGTTTCCCTTTTGATACTATGTTTCAGGGTAAAGGACAGATTCCACAAAACCAAGACGCAGTCCTGATTATAAAGGATTTTTAAAATTACATTATTAAAAATATGTCTTTACTCTTCTCTCATTTTATCTATTTTCCAAAGCCTCTTTCAAGTAAACTGCGAAGTGCCTGAGTACCAGTGACCATGACGTCACACGCCTGCTTTTATCTCAAGCACTCCTTGTTTGCATTTGTCCAAAGTGCTGGCCGGCTCCTAGGCCAGTTCCCACAAGAATGAATGCAGAGCTTCACTCTTAACGCTTTCCCTTTGCTTCTAAATCCATGCAATGAGGTCGGCTTGGCTTTTGCTACAAGGTGGGGTTTTATTTTTTTGGTGCATGACGTCAAATACTCTAACGAGACCTTTTGAATGAAATACTTAAACCAGATAGGCCACAGGGAGCCAAATTAGAAATCTGAACATGTCGCCACTTGCAGTGTCAAGGGACAGGAAAGGGCAGAGCTAAGAAATCTGTTCTCCTAAGGTGACAATTTCTAAGCTGAGGATTCCTTTGTAAGGGTTGTTTTAAAAATATGTTTGAAAACCCATCACCACGCGGTTAGTATTACAAGAGACATCCCTTGCCAAAAAAAAAAAAAATCTTGCAATTCAGCACACATCTGTGGCTAGCGTGCTCACCCAAACCAATCAGTAGGCTACGAGAATTTAAAATTCCACACATATGGGTCTAGGTATTTATGCCGATTACACAGTACAGAGAGGTCCCTATACCTGCGTACACGCCCCATCCAACATTATACTGATTCTCGCCCTTTAAACACCTTTAACTATTCTGCAGACAGTGAATGCTTCGTTTGCCACCACCTCCAACAGTTTTTTCTCTTAATTTTTATTGGTTTTTTGTGTGATAATGACCTACACATGGACAGGCTCCAAGCCATCTGGACGAGGTCTCATCCCAGGCTGCGAAGCAGTTCTCAACACCGGTCTTCTGTAGCCACCACAAAGCCCCAGGAGAAGGGCATCTTTGTAGCGATTCCCACCGAAGCCAGCAGCGCAGCGCCGTGGCCCGGCTGCCCTGCTGCACGGTCCCAGCGGTCCTCTGATGGCCCAAACCGCCACCTCCTTTGGGCCCAGAACAGGACAAATGAAATTTCAACAGGGGCCTGCCCCGTGACATAAAATTTATTCGGCTTCCACAGCCTCTGAATGTAAGGAGCAGTCCTCCACCCGCTCCCCACCGCAACCTGTTCCCAGTCGGAGACCCCAGGGGTTCTGGGGACGGCATACCTCAGGTAACTCACAGGGGGCCCCGCCGCGGGGGCGGGGCAGTCTGAACTTCAGGCCGCCCTGGAGTAGAAAGAAATCGCTTTGTCTCTGTCATCTGAGTCTTCTACCTGGGGCCAGAGGGCGCGCAGCCGGACCCGCACGTCCACTCCCCGCCGGTCCCCCACCCCATCCGAAGCTCCGGGCGTTCAGACAAAAGGTCCCCTGAGCTGCTGCAGGGAGGGGGCGGGGCAGGTGGAGAGCAGGGCTGGTAAAGGAGTCTGCACACCCCGGTTAAGACACCAGTTCTGCATTTGGGTACAGAGACTGCGTTTTACAAATTCGAAGCATCGCTTTGGTTCGCTGCCTTTGTTCGCGGGTGCGGGTTGTCGCTCCCCCATCCATCCATCCATCCATCCATCCGTCCTCCAACCATCCATCCATCCTCCACCCACCCCATCCTCGTTTGACTGGCTCGCTCCCCCACGCCGCCCGGCGCATTACCGCTTCTTCTTCTGCTTGAGGGACTTCCTGCGTTTGAGGATCATCTCATAGAGCTTGTCCATGCCCTCGGTGAGGCCCTCGCCGATGATGGCGCAGGCCGGCTGGACGTGGTAGGTGGTGGCCGGGATGAGCTCGTGCAGCGCCAGCTGCTTCTCGATCTCCGCCACCGGCAGCGACTTGGGCAGGTCCTGCTTGTTGGCGATGACCAGCAGCGGCGTGCCCTGGTTCTCGGCGAACTTGGTCACCTTGTGCAGCTCGGTCTTGGCCTCCTCCAGCCGGTCCACGTCCACCGAGTCCACCACGTAGATGATGCCGTCCGTGCAGCGGCTGTAGGACTTCCACAGGGGCCGCAGCTTCTCCTGGCCGCCCACGTCCCAGAAGTGGCAGCTGATGCCCTTGGCCGTGCCGTTGCTCAGCTTGATCTTCTCCGTGTTGAAGCCGATGGTGGGCACCGTGTTCACGAACTCGTTGAACTTGAGCCGGTAGAGCACGGTGGTCTTGCCGGCCGAGTCCAAGCCCAGCATGACGATGTGCAGGGACTGGAAGGCCGAGATGTTGGAGGAGATGTTGCCCATGGCTCCTGGCGGGGGCGCGGGCCACTGCGGCTGCGGAGGGCGCCGCCCCCGGCGGTCACGGCG